TTAAGGACAATTCTCAGCCTGTATGTCATGTTAAGTAAGTTAGATTTTATTCTAAAAGCAACTAAAGTCACTGAAGAGTTTTGAGTAAAATAGTAGCATTATGAAGTTTGAGTTTCAGAAAGATCACTGTGGTTATGGTTTTGGAGAATAATTAGGAAGAGGGCAAGATTGGATGCAAAGGAATTTGTTATGACATGAATGAAAGTAAAAATTGAATCAAGATGTTCACTTTGATTTATTTAGAATGTTCAATCAATAGAAATTAAGGAATTAAAAGACAATAGGCAGACTAGGGGCATGAGCCAAGGGAAAGGAGACATAGGAGGCACAAACTAAAGGAGATTTGAAGAGCTAAGTTTGGATATTACTGAGTTGTAGGTGACTTTAAGAAATGAGTAAGTTGGCAAGTGGATTTTCAGATCTGGAACTTAGAAAAGAGGACCAGAATAAAGACATAAATGTGGGCTTCACTGGCATGCAAATGGAATTTTAAAAGTTAAAATTGCTGGCCTGGGGTTGTAGCTCAATGGTAGAGTGCTTGCTTCTTTTGTGTGAGGCAGGAGGTTCAATCCTCAGCACTACATAAAAATAAATAAATAAAATAAAGGTAGTGTACCCACCTAAAATTAACAATATATTTTTAAAAGAGTTAAAATTGTATGAGATCTCTATGAAAAAGTATAGTGAGAATAGAAGAGGGCACAGTACTGATATGTACTAAACCCTGGGTATTCTCCCCAGATTAGACTCCTGAAGGAAAGAAAAGGACAAAAATACTGAGTTGGAACTACATTTCTGATATTCGTTATATTAGGGCCAGTGACAGGTAGTAACTGCAGTTTTAAAAAAACAAAATTCTATTTACCATTCATGTTAGTTTGTAAATTATGATTAATGACCTCTAAATATTATTGGTAGTATTTTATTATAGGATTTAATTAACATCTTCATTATGAAGGAGAAAACACAATATGGCCAAATGTGTGCAAGAATAAAAAGAATCACACTTCTTTATTTTATAATGCCATATTATTTTGAATATAATTTCAAAAAAGGATAAAATTATATGATTATCAAAACTGAGTATGAGTTTTAGAACCAAATTTGATGCAATATTACTGTACTGTAGAATAAATATCCATTTATGTAGCATCTAGCATATGTGCTTAACAGAAAAAGATCTTAATAATTTAAAGTTTAGTCATTATGGTGATGGGAAGAGTTGCAAGTAGTCACGCTCTTGTTTATAAATTAGATAATGACAAAGCAGTTGCAAACTAGTTGCTGTTTGACACACGTCATGGGGACAGATACACATAAGGAAAGTGTCTTAGTGCTCTCCAGGGAAAATGAAGTAATTGTAGGAGGGAGAGGGAGGGAGGGATTGGGGGGAGAGGGAGGAGTGGAGAGAGAGAAAGAGACAGAGACAGAGATAGAGAGAGAGATCTTAAAAAACTGAATCATGTGATGATGTAGGTTGGCAGGTCCAAAATTTTAAGATAGGCTACAAGTTATAGATTTAGAGGAGTTGATGTTGCAGTTTGAGTTTGACTACTATGCTACTTAGCATATCCTCTTCCTTGAAGGAATCTTTTTTTTCTCTTAAAGGTCTCAACTGATTGAATCACACCAAATCAAATAATAGAAGGTAACTGATTTACTAAAAGTCTTTTAATTTAAGTCTTAACTTCATCTAAAAAAAAATCTTCAGAATAGCAATATTTAGACTGATATTTGCCCAAATAGGGCCTGGAAAAATTGAGACATAAAATTAATAATCGCAGAATGCAAAAAGAATTTTGCAAAAGCATAAAAAATAAACATAATAAAACCTAATAGAAAGGTTAATATCTCAGAAACTGAACCTCAGAAAGAATAGAAAAGCAACAATAAAATGCACTGATAACACCAGAAATCTCTTGCAATTCTATATGGTTTTGAAATTTTCAAAGCATTTTCATAATGCTTGGCTTAAAGATGTCTGTTTATTAGACTTATGAGGAAGAACTTCTCAACTTTCTTTCACATATGAATCTAAGATTATGCATATGAATCAAATAATTGTAACAGTTTCTCATTTTATTCCCATGGCATGAGTTATGAAAGAATAGGTTTATGTAAGTGATAGGGAAATATAAGCAGAGATACTAGGCAATATCTCTGATGTCTCTTAACAAAGAAAATTTAAATTCAAATGCTTTGACTGTCAAAGAGGGCATTATTCAACCCTACCTCTCTGTTCCATCAATATATTAAACTATGGTAGGCATGAATTTCAGTGAAAATCAAATAAACACACACTTTTAGTACAAGTGTTGTGCATTGGGAATACAAAAAAATGAAGTCATATTCTTCATCTTATAGTGTGCAATCCACTGCAATAGATAAGCTTCTAACTGAATATTAGCAAAAATTTAACTTGGCCTCACTTAAACAAGCATCTTGGATGAGATACATTTGAGAGTTAATGGTAGGCCAAAGTTAGAAAAAAAATGGATTGGAAAAGTGGCAGAGAGAAGGTATTATGAATAATGTCATG